TAAAATGGGCGAAAAGTAAAGCTATTGCCTTATTTTTTGCTGTTTTTTGCCTCGTTTTCAAAAATTTAAAAATGGACGAAAAGTAAAGGCTATTGCCTTACTTTTTTGCTGTTTTTTGCCTGTTTTTCGAAAATTTAAAAATGGGCGAAAAGAAAAGGCTATTGCCTTACTTTTTTGCTGTTTTCTTCCTCTTTTTCAAAAATTAAAAATTCGGCTAAATATGGACGAAAAGTAAAGGCCATTGCCTTACTTTTTTGCTGCTTTTTCCTCTTTTTCAAAAATTGAAAAATTAGCTAAGAATGGACGAAAAGTAAAGGCAATAGCCTTATTTTTTGCTGTTTTTGCCTCTTTTTAAAAAATTGAAAAATCGGCTGAAAATGGACGAAAAGTAAAGGCAATAGCCTTAATTTCTTGCTCTTTTTGCCTCTTTTTTAAAAATGAAAAATCGGTGAAAATGGACGAAAAGTAAAGGCTATAGCCTTACTTTTTTTCTGTTTTTTTCCCTCTTTTTCAAAAATTGAAAAATGGACGAAAAATATTTTTTTCTTTTCCCCTGATTTTGCCTCTTTTTTAAAAAAAAATGAAAATTCGGTTAAAATGGACAAAAAGTAAAGGCAATAGCCTTACTTTTTTGCTGTTTTTGCCTCTTTTTAAAAAAAAATGAAAAATCGGTTAAAATGGGCGAAAAGTAAAGGCCATAGCCTTACTTTTTTGCTGTTTTTTTCGTCTTTTTCAAAAATTAAAAATTCGGCTAAAAATGGACGAATAGTAAAGGCCATAGCCTTACTTTTTTGCTGTTTTTTGCCTCTTTTTCAAAAATTGAAAAATGGGCTAAAAATGAACGAAAAGTAAAGGCAATAACCTTATTTTTTGCTGTTTTTGCCTGTTTTTAAAAAATTGAAAAATCGGCTGAAAATGGACGAAAAGTAAAGGCTATTGCCTTACTTTCTTTCTGTTTTTTGCCTCTTTTTTAAAAATGAAAAATCGGTTAAAATGGACGAAAAGTAAAGGCTATAGCCTTACTTTTTTTCTGTTTTTTTCCCTCTTTTTCAAAAATTGAAAAATGGACGAAAAATAAAAGTTATAGCCTTACGTTTTTGCTGTTTTTTGCCTCTTTTTCAAAAATTGAAAAATGGGCTGAAAATGGACGAAAAGTAAAGGCCTTCCTTTTTTGTTGCCTTACTTTTTTGCTGTTTTTTTCCTCATTTTCAAAAATTGAAAAATGGGCTAAAAATGGACGAAAAGTAAAGGCTATTGCCTTACTTTTTTGCTGTTTTTTCGTCTTTTTCAAAAATTAAAAATTCGGCTAAAAATGGACGAAAAGTAAAGACCATAGCCTTACTTTTTTGCTGTTTTTTGCCTCTTTTTCAAAAATTGAAAAATCGGCTGAAAATGGACGAAAAGTAAAGGCAATAGCCTTACTTTTTTGTTGTTTTTGCCTCTTTTTAAAAAAAAATGAAAAATCGGTTAAAATGGGCGAAAAGTAAAGGCTATTGCCTTACTTTTTTGCTGTTTTTTGCCTCTTTTTCAAAAATTTAAAAATGGACGAAAAGTAAAGGCTATTATTACCTTACTTTTTTGCTGTTTTTTTTCTCTTTTTCAAAAATTAAAAATTCGGCTAAATATGGACGAAAAGCAAAGGCTATGGCCTTACTTTTTTGCTGTTTTTTTCCTCTTTTTCAAAAATTGAAAAATCAGCTAAGAATGGACGAAAAGTAAAGGCTATTGCCTTACTCTTTTGCTGTTTTTTTTCCTCTCATCTGAAGAATTTCTAACCAAAAGCATAATGATCCTAACAATATTGAACTTCGAAACATTTACCACGATTTATCTGATATACAAACTTTCAGGGATCTTTATCCGCGATTTATCTGATATACAAACTCTCCCGATCTTTATGTGATATACAAACTCTCAGTGACGCCGGAACTGGGGGGCAGGAGGGGCAGCCGCCCCCGTTGCCCTTTACCAGGAGGGACAAGGGGCAGCGCCATGGTGTCCTTCCAATTTAAAGGATTGCTTTGGCGAAATAGCAAATTGTTAGAAATGTTAGTGTAATTCTTTTACGAATTTGCTCCAGAAAACGCAAGAAGTGCAGTCATCGAGCTTCAAGAATAGCACAATCGCCTGGCGGAGAACCCCCTCACACCCCTATCATCCAATAAATAGAAAAGATGATTAGGCGAAGTTCAACTCCCGGTGTTTTGCAAACATCTTTAAGATCTCTTAGTATATATCAATTCAAAAGTGCCCTTTCACGAAAATCTGCCCCCCTTGCCTTCACATCGTTCCGGCGTATATCAGATAAAGATCGGCTGTTCATGTTTTAGCTAGTATACATAGACGTTCAAGTTCGTCATAAACAGCAGACAAAAATAGGGACTATAGTAGTATAGCTTTACCTTCAAATAGCTAATTATTCTGTGTACATATATTATACCATTGACAGTTGAACTTTACTTGCCTCTGATTTAATGATATAATAATAATAATTTTTTTGGCCATATACACACATACAATTAGAAACAAGAAAGAAATAGTAAAATAGATACAAAAGGAAGGAAATATGATTAATTGTATCGAATGGCAAGGAGACATCCAGATATCACCAGGCTTGTACAAGAGAGGTCACACCTCACGATGCACTGAATTATTGGATAGGACTAAAATATAGATGTGCTTAACTTAATATGTCAGATGATTCAAGTGCACTCTTCCCATCAGCCCCTTCGCCCATCTATCCCCACTACAATACTTCATGTAAACTCGTCCTATGCGCATCACTGTTTTTTTTACAAAGAGACGCCTGGGTGCGAGGCAGCTCTAGCATTCTGTTCCTGAAACAACGAGGGAGTCACTATGTTAATAATATCTTTTTGTAATGCATTCTACATGCAGTTTCAACATGAGCTCCACCTTTGGATTTACTATACGAGTAAATTCTTAAATGATAAATTAAGTAAATGATAAATTCGCAGCATATTTTAAAATCTATACAATATAATCATAAAACCACAAGCATTAGACAAGACTTCTTGCTACAATTTTCAAGATTTTCAAAAAATTAGTTTTTAAAAAAGTTTTAAAAGAGTTTTAAAAAGCAAAAAAAACTTTTAAAAAGTTAGATTTTTGAAAAGGTTAAAAAAATTTAGAAAGTTAGAATAGTTAGGGTTAGTCAGTGGTTAGGGTTAGGGGTTAGGGGTTAGTGGTTAGTGGTTAGGGTTAGGTTATTTATTATTATGATAAATTCAAAATGTGCCGCGAATTTATCATACTATGATAAATTCGGACGTGTTTAAGAATTTACTCGTATAGTAAATTCAAAGGTGGAGCTTATGCTGGCAGTTTTGGTCCTGGAAATAGAATAGTAAACTGTTTAATATTCGTTTCGCAAGCGCGAGTTTGATAATCAGGCGCATGTCTTGTGTTATATATGACATTTGACTACCTGTAGTGAATATCGTACGAAATGAGGAGGGTAAAAAATGGTTATGACATAGAAACATAAATTTAGCGGTATAAAATGTATTTATTTGGTAAATATCCATTAAGTTTAACTGCGAAAAGAGCGGTTTTGTATATGATATAACATGCGTTTGTAAATGCCCGCACAGCGCGTTTTTGCATCAAAAATAGCATATTCATGTTACTGGGATAGGTAGAACCCAAGGTAATATTTCAACAAGTTAGATAGGGATAGATTATAGTATAATACCACATTAACTTTGTATACTGTACTGGTCGACAAACAAAAGCGAGACCGGTAAATTATTCCCACTGATCTAGAGATCTTTTTCAATGAGTTGTTTTAATGCACGCATGCAATGCATGTGACCAAATCTAAACATTTATTTTATAGCAGTGTTCTAGGAGTTTAACCGAGAGACTAAAAAGTACTGCTAGATCACGAATACCTTTACTGTGTTAAAAATAAAGCAACATATAAGTTATGCCTGTGGTTCTTGTTTTTCTTTGCTTTTCAGCAAAAATTCTTAATTTAAGTTTCACCATTAGGCATTACATAAAATAAAAGAAAAGATTTTTAGAAAGTTTTCAATTTGAAGTGGTTTGCCCGAGGATAAATTTGAGCTTTGAGAAAGTCAAAAGGCCCCCCTCCCTTTACTTTTGAGAAAAAATTCAAATTTTGATAAGCATATATAATTTGATCATGCAGTTTAAAATCGCTTTGTTGCGGGTGATAATTTTCCTTTCGAGTAAAAATAGATTTTTTTACTTGTTCGAAACAACCATTTTCATAAACGAAAGGGTTTTTTGTCTTTACTTTTCGATTTTGTCGTTTTAATTGGGCTAGCATGGAGTATTTCAAAAGTCGAAGGTTTGCAGCAGCGTTGCCAAGTCCTGAAAGCATTTGGTTGTTTTTTTATAGTTAATCTCGGGATTTTTTTTTGAATTTGAATTTTTAATGTCGTTTTTTTTTGTAGAATTGACTAATAAACAATTTTGCTAAATTTTCTATCCAGGGTTCGTGTGTTCGTATTCAGTATTTATTGCCAGATGTCGTTTTTACAACATGACGTACGGTGCTATCGTATCTGAAATTGGTGCGAAATTTTGAGACTTGAGTGATTACTTGGGATTTTTACAAAATTATAGTTGGCAACGCTGGTTTGCAGGGAAATCAATTTGTTTTATAATTCAATACTAACAGCACTTTATATTTAGCCCCGAACACGGACACTGTTTGTTTTTTTGCTTTTTTGTTTAGATTTGAAACACATGTATTAACATTAAAATATATTACAGAAATGCTTTAATTTTCAATCTTCAATATTTACATAAAGTAATAGTTGTTTTATTATGTAAGTTACATAATTAAAATTATGTTACAAAATTGTATTGCGTGTTACAGAACACACGTTTTATAATATGTATTACATGTGGCAAAAGTGAACTTATTATTTTACAAAAATATATTTAAAATCTATTTCACAAAACTTAATGTATTTTTTACATAATATATAGTTATTACAATAATGCTATCACCTTATATACATTACAAAAAATACAATCTCTATATTACACATTAAATCCCATCAACTATACTTGGGGCCCCCATTTATAGAAAATCATAAATAAAAATAAAAAATAAAATTCCTAAATCATGCCTTATTCAATTTTTTATCAACATCTACTCTTGGAAATCATATTTCGTTAGATATTTGGTAATTTGCCGTATAAGGGGTACCCCCCAATGTTCGAATTTTTGTCGCCTTAGTGTGATGTATAGTTTATTTTTTAAACGCATGTTTTTATCGCGCATAATTTGTTTACATATTAATCCGCTATATTATTACTGCACCGCCATATTGTTACGGATTGGTCCGCCATATTGTTGTGTTCCGCCATATTGTTACGGATCAATTCGCCGTATTGCTGCCGCTTAATCACGGCCATACTCAATTCCTAACCGCAGGGACCCCCAGATTTTATCCCTACTATAATGAAATGTCACTAACCTTGCAGCAGCTTCTTCCTTTAATAACGTAACTAACGAAGTAATCATACCAGTACTTTAATCCAGCAGTATATAGCACATTTGCCCAAGATATCCACCGAGGTATTGCACATTTGCCCAAGATATCCATCGTGGTATTGCACATTTGCCCAAGATATCCATCGTGCTATTGCACATTTGCCCAAGATATCCACCATTCTTCAACGATGTGGCAAGGTGGGATAATTTCATATTTAGTGTAGAAAAAAGGTTTGGGGTCCGGTGCTGAGGGGCCTGGTGCGTGGATTTCACGCTTGATGCCTTACCTAAGCTAGTCGAGTTTATCTCACTCGCTCATATTGGTCTTAAACGAAAACCTAAGAGAGCTAATGCACTTGCAAAAACTGAAAATGTGCAGCCCTAGCCTAGTGAGATACCCCGTTTACAAGCCACCATTTTGCCACAACAACAACTTTTATCACTAGTTTGCAGGTTATAAATGCTTGAAATATATACTTGTGTAAAACAACTTTAAACAGTTTTATAAAAAGTTACATAAATTTATAATTGGCACTCTAACTATATTAATCGAGTCCAATATACAGTATATATACAATAAATAATATGCATAATTAATAAAATTGGTTTTCATTTTGTCAAATTTGCAACTCTCGCGTAACGTCTGATGCAATTTTACTCATCAAGTCGACACACGTTGACATTCTTTCATTTTAAATTTAAGTATATCAGTGGAAACCAATGGCTTTCAAAGTGAAACGTTTTAATGGGTATGAAGGATTTACATTGGTTAAGGAATTTAATTTATTTACTTCTTTAAGCTTCAGAACAAAGTATTTGGATAAAATATGCTTACCATGCAGTACCGCATATAACTACACAACTGTGTTGAGGGCAATTTCACTGGCCCTGTAAATTCTCCAGAAAAACCCGTAGGACACATTCGTAGGCAGTGAATCTTAGTAGATTTACTAGAAATTTGAAATATCAACAAACTGTGCAGTCAATTTTGAAGACTTATTAAGCATATAGCAAAAGCAACTGCTGCCTTCATGGAAACAGCAATGAAAAAACATGGTAATATGCACTGTGTGTGTTTTGAAGGCTTAGGCATATAGCAAAAGCAATTGCTGCCCTTTATAGAAACAGCACTGAAAAAAACCCAGAACATATAGTAAGACGATGTCACCCTCATAGAAATGACATCAGTTAACAAAAACTGCACAGTCTATTTTTCCTAGCTAAGACATATAGTGATCGGCTAGGTAGCTGTCCTACATAAACCAGCACTGACAAAAACTTTAGAATATAGTACGAATTAGATGTCACTCTTATAGAAATGACATTTTGACAATTGACTGCACAATCTATTTTTTAGCTAAAACATATAGTGCATGATAGCAGTAGCTGCCCTATATAGAAACAGCAGTGAAAAAGTGAACAAATCAGGTACACTTCCAAGTGCCATCCTTATATATATTAGACATGGCAAGTAGTATAAACTGAAAACTGTTCTTGTTATTTGTTGGCTAAGGCATTAGGCATATAGCAATAACAAGCTGCCCGTTATAGAAACAGCAAAGAAATAGTGTTTTTAATTGAAAATTGTGCAGTTCCAAGTGCTACTTATATAGACATGGCAAATAATACAAATTGAAAACTGTACTTGTTATTTGTTGGCTAAAGCATATAGCAATAGCAAGCTGCCCTTTATAGAAACAGCAATGAAATATAGTGTTTTTAATTGAAAAATAGCTGAATATTTTTAGGGGGCTAAGGTATATAGCCATAGCTAGCTGCCCTTTATAGAAACAGCACGGAAAATCACATCACAACTTCATTAGATATCCCAAGAGACCTGCAACACTTCCAGCCAATCAACACGGACAAAAAGTACACCCAAAAAGAGGCGCCTTCTTTTTAAATGTACTGCTTGCTTATGCCGAATGACTGGACGTCTCACAGAGACCTTGGAAAAATAAGAAAGTTACAATGCCACTGCCCATGTACGGTCCTGTACTCTACATAGTTTCTTCTTGGTCTGGCTTCCAACATGTACACAATGCGTACCTATTTTTTATACATACAAAGCTGGAGCCGCGAACACATCTTATTATAGGCTTTCTACTGAAGTACAATGTGTATAAATGAATACGAGTATAAACTCAGAGGCATATAGTTGGGCTGTTTTCTTCTCCAATTTCAATTGACCATATTTATATAAATACGAATATAAACTCAGGATGCACGAACATGTTGTGCTCAGGACTCTAAAATTGCTTTCTCTAACTTGTAGCTAAGACATATAGTGATAGCAGTAGCTGTCCTATGTTGAAACAGCAGGGAAACAATCGAAAAATGTACATGCAGTTTAATTAAGTACATATAGATTGTACCTGTACATGTACATTGTCCCTTGGACATGCAATGGCGGGCAATATCAACTAAAAACTGAACATTATTTGTTGGCTAAGGCATATATAGCAATAGCAAGCTGTCCTTTATAGAAACAGCAATGGAATTGTGTTTTTAATTGAAAAATTATAGCCGAATATTTTCTTGGGCTAAAGCAATTACCATAGCTGCTTTTTTATAGAAACAGCACAAACGTGACTGAAATTTACACTGTAACATTAATTAAATTAATTCGAGGGTACAAAAATTCGAGTATCATCTCGCAAGCCATCAACATATACTTGGGCTCCATGCTCTATAACCAATTTCTCCAATTTCAATTAATTAAGCATAATATACATATATAAATACTTGTATATATGAACTCAGGAGCCTGCATGAGCATACAGTTGGGCTCAGTGCTCTATAATTGGTTCCTCCAATTTCAATTTCAAACGAGTACAAATGAACATGTAGTTGGACTCTATATAGTGGTATTTTCAGATCTCAAAATAGTTGTGAAATGGTAGCATGTAAACGGGGTCTAATATTAATAGGAAGGCATGCAGTCGAGTGGGGCTCTCTCAACTCCTTCCAGCTATAACGTTATGAATCATGACATATATGAAAATAAAATAAAAATATGGGCAATAAAAAAAAATGTGCAAGTTAAAAACGCTTGACTGCCTACCGCAGTGTGGGTTGTATTGGGTTTGCAAGCGACACATTGCCATCTTAATGCATTCGATCTAAAAGTAAAATTAGAAAGAAAAAAATTAATAACAAATCAAATTGATATATATAACGCATGCGCCTTTGGGGTTGACCGCTCGTTGTAGGTCTAGCTACCCAAGTAATCCAATCCCAATTAAAAATAACAAGCAAAACCCAAACCCATGCACAATTAAGAAAATAACACAAGCTAAAGGAGCTAATAGAGAAGAATAACAAACAATGCAAAACATGTAGCTAATAAGGCTAACAGAGTTGGGTCAAGCTGACATCGTCGGAAAGGGACGTCTTGTCCCATTGTCTATGTTCACCATCCTTTTGCGAATTTGTAAATGAATAAATAGATAAATAATCCACAACGAACGCTCGCGGTGCACGAGATAGTCAACCCGAACACCTTAGGCATTTATGAAAATTTCAGTTCTTTAAAGGGGTGGGGGAGTTGGTATAGAAAAGGGGCGGGGTCTTTCACAAAGGGGTGTCAAAAGTTTTACTTGTATTTTTCAGGTAGCTCAATCCATCCCGATCCCCAGCTTTCTGGTGTTAAAATTCTTAAAGTTCATAAAGAAAAGTTATGTTTAAATCTTAATTACCTTAACACTCAAGTGTTGTTCTCCAATAACCCAATGACTGAAGCACTGATTCACGGCCTGCATGGAATGACGTCAGGACTGTACGTAATGCTTCTTCTGATGTACACGAGGTGGTAGCATCAGGCCAGCCGGAGCAGAGAGGATGGCCGCGTTTCGCTTCCACACTAATGACAAGACTGGCGTATAAAACGATCCATGAGCATGCTCCATTTCAACCAAACGTTGTTTGCGAGTGGAAATTAATGGCGAGCCTTTGCTTTCTACAGGACAGGTCATCACTAGTATACCTAAAACGACAAATTTTTTAAACAAATTAGATCGAAAACATCCTAAATACTTTATGGAAACATTTTTGTTCTAATTTAAACGAAAGATGGTGCCTAAGTAAGGCTAAAGGCTAAAGAGCAAGACGAAACGCAACATCATGCACGTCGAAGGCAAATCGACAAAGGGCGTTTGTCTTACTCGAATCAAGTTTCAAGCAATTTTACTCGGAGAAATATGAACGTTTTATATCTATACATTTCCATACTAATCAATAACTAAGATAACGAATGTAAACTTAATTCAATATACTGCATATTCAATATGTGGGATATCATGCACTGTTCAATGATTCTGTTCACGCCGAATATGAACATTTTACACAAAATAAAAAGTACATACCATAGTTTGGTCTTTGGTTAATTGGTTTGGCTCCCGAGGTTCACACGACAACATTTCTTGTTTAATTTCGCTTTGAAAATTCAGGCAAGGAAGCCGTTTTTCTTGACTTGGCCATTGAGCCGTGACGGGTTGAAACTGATTCAACATTCGATCTTTCCACTAAAACGAGAAAATTTAAAACAAAATTAGCTACAGAACACCCTAAATACTTTATCGAAACATTTCTCTACTAATTTAAAGCGAGGACAACATAAAGCAAGGCTTAATTCTGTGTCTTTATGCCAGTACAAATCGATCGCGACAGCACGCTTCGGCCCAAAGCAAAGGCGAAGCAAGCGACTTACGGTAGCTCAACTTTCAAAAGTAGTTTCAAACACTTTTACCGGCCGTAATATGAACAAATCACATAAAATAGATAGAACATACCTAAATCTTGTCTTTTAGTTTGATTTTGTACTTCTCTGCGGTCTTAGAAGCTTCGTATTTCAGTGTTTAAAGTACCTCTTTACACCACGAGACGAGAACTTCGATTAAACTACACGAGGCACAACCGCCCTAAATTTGAATAATTTACATGGAATTTTGTCTGGAATGTTATTTCTTTCGATAGCATCGAAATACAGGCTTCTGATTGGTGCGTACTTACAAAAGAAACTCCCTGATTGGTCAAACCTCTCTGGCTTAGATTGGCTTCAATCCCTGCGGGAATTTAAGTCTATTATACAGGGTGTCTCAAAAAAAACCAAAATCATTGAAATAACGTATTGTTCGAATTTCAATGCCGTAACACAAAGGATTTTGACAGGGTGATTAATTTGTTTTAAAAAATTAAAATATCTTTGTAAAGTGAACGTTTGTTTGCTCATGGGAATTTAAAAATGCTTCGTAAATTCGTGGGTTTAGTACTTTATGCCTGACATAACAAGTTTACGCTGAGTATTACCATTCATTATAGCAGTTATGTCAATCTTTTATGCACTCGTGGGATTAACTTAGTGCTAGGGCATTGAATATCGAACAATACGTCAATTTCAATGATTTTGGGTTTTTTTGAGACACCCTGTAGAACTACATAATTTTCTGAATATATTATTTTCATTGGCAGCAGTCTATTTCATTGGTAAATAAGGCTTGTTCTAAGCCATCTCGTCAACGCATAATGAATTCAATACACACGCCATTGAACATGATGCATGACCTGTAAATAAAATACACTAGAAAAAATGTCGGGTTATAAGCACGCAAAAATCGCACATCTTGTAACAAGTCTGTCAACAAGCCGTCAACAAGTTGTCTTCGCACTGTTTGTCACAAGTTGTCAACAAGTTTGGAACAAGCTGTTAACAATTTGTAACAACCTTATTGATATTATCAGCCTTGTTACAAGGTTGTACCAACAAGTCCGATACAGTCATGATATAGCAGTATTGTTACAACCTTGTGTCGTCAACCTTGTAAAGGCCCTGTCGCATTATTGCGTATAGGAAGGAGGCGGGGATTATTCGTGTGTCATATATATATATATATATATATATATATATATATATATATATATATATATATATATATATATATATATATATATATATATATATATATATATATATATATATATATATATATATATATATATATATATATATACAGTATATATATTTGTATATTTTCATTATTTTCTCCTTTATTATTAATCAACGGCCCCTTGAAAATCAGCTACAAGGAACTGTACATAAACTTGCCGAAGGGCTGCCGTTGTATATGTGTGTAAAAAAGATTAAATAATAATAATAATAATCGATATCATGACATACGCTAGGGGTACGTTAGGCATAGGTTGTATACGTTTCAAGCGCGGTCGCATACGCTGGCATACGGCGAGGCAGTAACTTTTTTTAACCATGCTCAAAAATTTTGTGCGTATTCGGATGTATGTAATGGTTTATTACGATAAGCATTTTGTGCTCTAGGAACACGCTGAATACGTTAGAGGTACGCCAGATGTACGGTATTCATACGCTGGCATTTCAAAGGATTTTTGTGCGTATAAAAATTATTTCATTAATTTTCATACGCAATAGTGTGACAGGGCCTTAACATTCTTGTTTATCATGACTGTATCACACTTGTTAGAACAACCCTGCAACAAGATAATGCCATCAAGCTTGTTACAAGTTGTTAACAGCTTGTTCCAACAACTGGGAACAAGCAGTGCGAAGACAACTTGTTGACAGCTTGTGAACATATTTGTAACAACTTGTTTGCAGACTTGTAACAACTTGTGCGTTTTTACGCGTGTAAGGGCGTATTTCCAGTCCTCGCACGAAGCCGCCACTCTGGGAACGAGATTGCATATTGTTCGACGCAACCACGTTTGTAAACAACAATTTTTGCCCGCTAAACATTTTAAAATCATAGAAATATGCTCTTCGGGTGAACGCAGCTCAGGATGTCTGTGGCTCTTTTTCACGTTCAGAAATTACTTCATGTAACCAAGTTTGTTCTGGCTCGAACAACATGGCCGCTCAAATTTTCAAAAAAATCATACTAATTTGTAATTTTATTTAATTCGCCCAAAATAGCTAATTACATTAATTTTCGGTTATAATTACAATACAGGGCTAGGAAACTCCCTAACTTACATTAATAGATTATATAATAAAGTTTTCGACAGTTCGAAATGTGAGGCGATGAGCGGTCATAGACGTCATGAGCCGCGGCGCACAACTACAGAGTACGTACACAGACTACACAAGATGAACAGAATAATCTACAAATTTAAATAATACTTCAATAGAACTTTCACAACAGAGGATATCATATAAAATTACAAGTTAATTACGATATATTTTTACATTTTATTTATTCGTGATTTTGACCTGCTGGTCGTGTTTATACTATTGAGTATTGTCAATTATTCGTTGTATAAAATTATAGGATGAAAAATAAATGTGTAAACACATTTCATTGTTTGTGGGACCATGCTGCGTATAATGTATCATGTATTACCCTATTTGCTCTATCTAATTAAGATGGCCTATATAGCCATATATTAATTCAATCAGCCTACCGTATAAACACATTGTATCTATTCAATCGAAAGCATTGTATTTCCCTTATTTGACCCCACGTAGCCTTTGTAGCCCCTGCCTTCGACCCCAGGCCCAAGCTAGGTTAGTCCAGAAGCACGTGCTGAAAGAAATAAGCCCCCCCCCCTTAATGAAATCATTCTCAATACATACCTGGTCAAGCGAGAATGTGAGTTGACAGTCACGTTAAGAAAATAAAGTTTTGACGAGTGTTCCAACGTGTTTTGATTACAAAATACGTGATAGTGTTGGGAAAGCATTAAGAACAGTTAACCAAGGTCGCGTGACTAACAACTCTCTCTCCTCCGCAGATGTTATTTATTCTATTTATAATGTTCTTCGGTTCTCTGCGGATAGTTCTCGCACCGAAGAACATAATAAATAGAATAAATAATCTCTGCGGAGGAGAGAGAACTCTCATCCTCGTTTGATCCCGCGAGCTTTATAGCGCATGCAGTATGAACAAAAACGTCCAGTGCTATAATAACGTTCACGGACAATGCTGTATATATAACGTTCACTGACATGGCTAAATGTTAACTGGAAATTCCAGGAAAATGTCCTCCAAATATTTCTCTGATGATAGTTCCGTAAATTCATATTTTTGAAAGAACACGAAACTTTATCCAGCCCCAGCCTCTGTTTATATATGTCATATATGGACCCTTCCGATAAGCGCCGAGTCAAACTATTTAACACTAAACTGGAAAAAATAAGCCCCTCTCCTGGGCACTACGTGGACGTATTGCATTCCTTCTTAGAATGAGCTAAATGCTTCTTAGAATTAGTTAAATGCTTCTTAGAATGAGCTAATTCATATTTGAAGTAAGTCGCACTTTTAGAAAATGTTAGTGTGTCTTCATGTGCCTCAACTTGTACCGTGCAACATAGTTTGATTATACTGACTCATATCACGAGCTCGCTGCCGCGTCGGTCCTTCGCCAATAATGTAAAATTGAAGATCTGCCTACAGAAATGATAGAAAGAATTCATAGGGATGTAACCAGGAATTAATTATGAGAGTAAGAAAATGATATTAATTCTCCATCGATAGAAGTCAATGTTGAAATTTTACCGGCCAATATCCGATGACCATGGGACTATAATTTCCATGCAGGCCTGATTTCCATCCTTTTCTATCTCAAGTACAAATCCTGAACATACCTGTAAGTTATCCTTCCAAGCTTCAGCAACGACACGTTCAAATTTACTTAGTTCATATTCTGTTGCAAAAGAGAAGAACCACATGCCTTCGTGGTCGGATTCAAATTTCTAAAATAAGAAAACCAGGTATTTGAAATATAGGTGAGAAAATTAAAAGTATGAAATAAAAAAAGACAAATGAAATGGAGGAAGGAAGAAAGAGAAGTGAAGTTGTTAAACGAGAGACAACTTATAATAAAGTTAAAGAGGCTATCAAGTCCGTTCTGTTCATGCGCGTGTTTTGTTTATATATCTTTTTGTTTCAAACAATAGATAATATAATTAAAATTCCGATCTGTCGGTTCACAGACCTATTGTTTGAAACAAAAAATGTACACAGATCGGAATTTTAATTAAATGATCTATTGTTAGAAACAAAAATGTAAACAAAACAAAAACAAGCTTAGCGCATGAGCAGAACAGACTTGACAGCCTCTTTAACAGTTTACTGAAAAATTAACGTTTAAATAAAGTTAATGTTTTAATAAAGTTATTGTTTCACTGAAGTTATTTTATTAGACCTTTCCCCTTATAACTAAAATTTTGATCTAGACAAGTCTAGACAAAAATTTCATCACAGCTTGAAAGAGCATCACAAAATTAGTAATATTCCGAAGTTTCAATTCGTTGCGAAATGTTGTAAAATGCGGATTAGCCCTGCGAAGTTTGCCGTTTTTCAGTAATTTTGTATTACAAATGGGAAATTGATGCCCCAACACCCGATTGGGCTGTCAATTTCCCGTGCGTAATACAAAATGACTGAAAAACGGCAAACTTCGCAAGGCTATATTATCCGCATTTTATTACATTTCGCAACGAAACTTCGGAATATTACTAATTTTGTGATGCTCTTTCAAGCTGTGATGAAATTTTTGTCTAGATCAAAATTTTAGCTATAAGGGGAAAGGTCCAATGGTTTTCCGTGCAGGGTAGCGTCATCCACGCATGCACGCGGGTGTTGCGAGACTTTCGGGACATTCTGCGTGCATGGATAACACAATCCAGCACGGAAAACATTTTGGTATTCCTTTGGAAATGAACTTACCAAAATACAATAATTCCTAACTTCGTTGTCTACCAATATCTGCGTGATATCTTGAATAAAAAAGCTACTTAAAAAACGATAGTCGCCATTAATATGCGCATGAAACGTGACGATATGTTGCTTGGTAACCGCGGCACAGCACGGGAGTGCTCTAGCCGCGGGACACAGGGTGGTATACAGGAACTCAGAGGATCCAGCTACAATTTGACATAACTTCGTTATCCAATCGGATGTCTGATCTTCGGTTGACGTCGATAGGATGACCACTGATTGACCATCGTCAGAAATTATCTGAAAATAGTTTAAAAGAGAACGGAGTTGCTAACAAGTCTTATTATTTTCAAGTCCAAGTTAAAAAGTCATTGCCAACCACAATGAATTTGTTTACATTTTACCTTTGAAAGTGACAAATAGCAACAAATGAAAAAGTTAAAATGAGCAAGTATAACCATAAGATGGTAGTAATATATTATGGATTGAAAACCGAAACATCTATTATTACGCCATCAAAATGGCGTAATAATTTCACCGTAGCGACCTTGGCTACAGCGTAAAAAGGCATATTCTTGTGTTGTAAAACAGAATCAAGAACATAACACCGAAACTGACTACGCAACGTTGCAGGTTGGAGAGTATTTTTATAAAAAAATAATGAAAATTAAAAGATGAAACTTGCTGAACACAAAGCCATGCACATAAAACATATTTGGGATAAATTTGTTATGACAAGCATTTAGTATTTGCATACATACAACAAAAACTATTTCAAACGTAGTCGGTAGTTCGTCGTCAAGATCTTAAACTCCCTATTAACCAAGGGTTGGCGCTGGCCCAGCTTTGAACATCTTGCCACAGGCTCTTTCCTATTTCCATCAAGCATCACTCAACTTTTCTACAAAATCTGAGCCTTATTTCATACCTCAAAGGCATATTTTTGCTGCTCGTCCGAAACCCGACGGCATCCTCCACAATTTGAAGCATTAAGTTCATAAATCATCTTTGGTTCTTTATCACCTTGTCTGGCGTAATGAAACAGTCCTCTACCCGTTAAAGCAAAGTAATTCGTCTCCCAGTGGCTGACCATTCCTAGATACTTGGACTTACAATCAAGGTATCCCTCTTTAACGATCTGGTAACGCACCGTGTCCAGTTCACTGCCAGGCCCTGAGAAACACATCCAGTGTACGAGAGAAAAACACAGTACTTCCATGTCCAATGTCTGAAATAAATATATACACTTTAAAATCGTCGATTAAAACGCGCAAAAGTTGTTACAACTGACCTAGGGCTGGTCGTGATGTATATATTAGGGACCGCGGTCATTATTTTTGGCGGGGGATGACACCAAAGAGAAATGTTTCTCTTGGGAAAAATTTTGCTGATCCATGCAACCATTAAAAAGTCAAAAAATTTCAGTTTACCCAACCTCAACATTCAATTAAAAAATAATCATCCACCACTGGCCAAAAACTTCGCAAAAGGATACCTACCACTTCTGTGACATGAGTTTGATATTTATTAACTGCTTGTGCAATTTTCTGCAGTCTAAGTTCATGTTGTCTGCAGATGTACTTCCTTTGGAGATTGATTTACATCCTTTTTATGAAGTTACTTTATGACAATTTATAACACGCGCTCAAATGACTACATTTAAAATTTTTATTTTTCGATACGTCTCTCAATCGGCAAACAAACTTAAAAAGTATGTTTAGTGCTTTATCTGTAAAATAATGTTAAAATGAAGAGGTATGCCAAAGAGAAAATGATGTCCAAAGTTCAGTAAGTTTTGATTATATCGCTGTAAATATGGCGTCACTTTTACAGTAAAGCATCATTGATAATTGTATTTTAATTGACAATTTTTTACTATTATTTTGTGTTTATCAACCGGCAAATGCATTTAAAAAGGTTGCTAACTGTGTAAACTACAAAATAAAGCTAAAACAAAGCAATTTTTTTCATATCGCTAAGATTTTAGGTTTTGAACACTTTTCTTCGCAAATACACGCGACATAGAAAAAAATTGCCTCCTAATCGTTTAATATCATTACCTGGTCCTGCAATGCCTGACGCCGTAACCACTTCTTGATCGCCTGCTGTCCTTGCACAGCGGTACTACTGATAAGCCGCGTCAGCTGAGCCGACGATGAGAGACCTCTGAGCACCAATGACGAAATATCTGACACTAAACTCCGCGTCACAGCCTCGTTTGCGGTCGAGAACGAATACTTCTCATTTTTAGCCACGAACGCAAGATGCTGACAGTTCACGCCAATTTCAATGTGCTTTAATTCTTGAAAGTTGATTGAGTGTTCAATGGTAAACCCTACGTCTGTTTGCTGTCTTAAAAAGTACACGGCTTTGTTTGTAAGTAGTAAAAGCACCTCATGTAGTTGCCCGTAATGAAAACCGGTGAATCCCTTCACAAAACGATGAAATTTTTCATCTTTGTTTTCGAATATACTCAACGAGAGTTTCTCTATAGCCGGTTGTTTTAATATGATATCCGAAGTCGTTCCGAGAGTTTCCGAGAGACCAGGCCTTCGGGGAAACCCGGCTAAGACTATCCCTTCATACTCGGCAAGAGAAAACCCTTGAGGGGCTGGGACGGGGTTATGGTTAACTTTCGGTAATGTGTCATCAGCGAGCTCTGCTTCGACCAATGAGATCGTAGATTCGTTAATGATGTCGTTCGAGTCCGTGCTCTTACGGTCGTTGTTGTGACAAAATTCGTCGAACGAATCCCCACAGTTCGACCTGCCCTTGTGACTGGCCGTGCCGTTTTCGGAAAGCGTCGGCTTCTTGATTGATAACCAGTCAACGCTATCTGAAAGATTAAAATTATTCCATGTACCAGCAATGCTCCCAAATTAACCGTATTTGTTATTGTACTCTTGTAGCAAAGCAAAATTGTCAACATCCTTTTCCGGCTGATAATTTCAGCAAAAATAAAACAAAAGTTATTCCGAATAAGGAGTGCATAATATTAACACACAATTTATTAAAACTGTATATTTCGAATCTAAATCAGATTCATCTTCAGCCGAGTGTTTTGCAAGATATCTTATCATATCATATATCTTATTATATTATATCTTGCAAAACACTGCCGAAGATGAATTTGATTTAGATTCGAAATATACAGTTTTAATAAATTGTGTGTTAATACTATGCACTCCTTATTCGGAATAACTTTTGTTTTAAGATTGTCAACAAGTTGTAACAATGCTATTATTTCATCAAGTTGCTACAAGGTTGTAACTCCCAACTTGTTGACAAATTGTTGAATTGCAGGACGACAGCAAATTGTTGGAACAACTTGTAACAAATCTGTTGAGCTCAACAACCTTGTAGCAACTTGTCAAGTTGTCAACAAGCCGTTGACAACTTGTCAACAAGCTGGGAACAAGCAGTGTGAACACATCCTGATAACAAGTTTGCGCCATATAACGGCGAACCGAATTTTACCTAGATAAGATCCTTCACTCATGAGCATTTTCGATCCAGTCCCTCCATCCGTGTCATCGATCCCTATGATGTCATATTCCAAGTGGTCGCGCATGTCATCTGTCTGGTCAAGTACACCTTCGTCTGCAAGAATCGTTCCATGGTTTTCTGTTTCAGGTGGCGTGGTAACGTCACGGTTATTTATGTCATTTTGTTCTCTATCAGGAAATGACTGCATTGGAATGGTATCTTCGTCCTGGTTGCCATTCTGGGAGCGTGAACCGTTACCTACAAAAAATATTTTAACATGTTGTTGTGAATTATTATTAACCAAAAATAATAATTTTTAAAAAAAATTTTATTTTATTTTTAAATTTTTTTTTTATAATAATTATTTTATTTTTTATTTTTTTATTTATTTTTTTTAATAATAATTTTTATCAATGGCTTTTATAGAACAATCATACAAATAATAAAAAAACAAGATAACAATTACTACACGTTATGCCTAAACCATGCACCCATGCAATGAGACTGTTCACTAAATATGGGTGGTTTACATAATGGGATATATTATTATTCTGATAAAGTAAGTACTGTAATTAAAACTTTATTTATTCACGGTAAACTCATCAGATAAACTAAAAGTAAAGATCTGCATTACAATGTTTAAAAAATAATTCAATAATAATTCATAACAAAATATAACGATATATATAACAAAAATAGATCGAGAAAAGTATTAAGAAATAGAAGTTTTACCTATCACGTTCGTAAGGCCAAAATCACGGAATCCCAAGAAAGACAAGTCCTAAAAATGCAGTAATGAATTGTGTGTAAAGTACACTGTATCTGTGTATGCGCGTTTCATTCCGAATCTACATGGGGTTCAATAGGCAATTCCAGCTTTTAGTTTATGCCTGCAGGGGATGATGGGAAGTAAGGTATCATATTGCTGATTATGCTGAAAATTTTCAATATAAACTACCGAAAGAACCGAAATATTTCAACATTTAAAAATATAAGCTATCACTCTGTGTTTACACGACCACCATTTTTATTTTTTCAGCATAATCACCAATGTGATACCTTACTTCCCATCGTCCCCTGCACGCATAAACTAAAAGCTGGAATCGCCTATTTCTGTCATATGTCATTCTCGGGGTATTCCAGTTACTGGATCGATTATAGAATATAGGGATGGCTCTGACTCAGGACCTCCCGATTTAATAACGTTGATCAATACGAGATGCCCCGGCCGCTATACTACCCAGCATGCACCTCTATATTTCTATCCAGTGTAAATATAGTTAGTTCAGTTTGGTATAGTAATCAGTCAGTTATTAAACTTATTCTCTAGACATTACCAATTCTGACGACAAACGTATGAGGTCCAAACCAGCGACAAGGGTTATTATGATGCCTAGGCGCTAAAAAGATGAAGGAATGTAATTAATTAATATATATTAAACATTAAAGGAATACCGAATGGTTTTCTGTGCAGGATTGCGTGATCCATGGACGAGGGATGTCGTGAGACTTTCGGAAAGCGTAAAAATACTCGAGCCGCAGGCGAGTGTATTTTTACGCTTTCCGAAAGTCGAGCAACATCCCAAGTGTATGGATCACGCTGTCCTGCTTGGAAAACCATTTGGTAATTGTTTTAAAAAATAACTACAGTGAAACAATGACATTTTGAGAATCCCGCGAAAATCCCGCGAAGGCCTTTTAATCCTCGTGCAGGATAGTCTGATCCTGCACGGCTATTGACCAATTAAATTGCGTGTTTCACTGTAGTTATTATATATAGGTATATACTTCAAACAGTTCAAAGTGACATTTTAAAACATCAGTATTTCCTCAAGACCGACCTCCTTATCGCGAATAAAAGAATCTCTAAATAAACAAATAGAAATAATATATTACGAAGTTGGTTTTTTTTTCTTCTGAACTGACAGCAAATGTGATCAATTTCAAGACAACGTTGACAGTTATATAAATGAACTAACCTTTGATAATATTTAGACGGCACTTTCTGATTCTCGTAAAACATTCGAAAATAACTTCCAAGCAGACAGTCTAACAATGCAAGGTAAATCCATAGTCGACCTATAAGAGAGGGCAAGCGCAAAAAGGCATGTCAACCATTCAAGAGAATAAGGCAATATTAAACAAAGAAAATATTCAAAAACTATATACTATTAGTCATCTTCTCTTGCAATTGAGTGTCGAATTGCTAAAAGGGCGTAGTTCAATCAAGTCGAAACCTTACTAGGGTGCTCTGGCTGCAACCATAGGAACCATTTCTGATCATGGAGCATGCGCACAGTTAAAATGGAAGAATATTATTACGGTTTTTGTTGAGGGAGGAAAACCGGGAGAAGTTCAATGCTTTGGACATAACGATTTCACTGCATGCATGTATTTTGAATTCTTGATTTTTGCTAGATATATCGGTTGGTTGTAAAAAGGTCTTTCAATGTTGAGGCTAATGGCAATGCCAGTAATGTGTTAAAAAAGGCATTATTTCAATACTAAGTTAAAAAGTGTTTTAATTTTAATTTTCGTAAAATGGTTATTTTTTCACACGTGAAACGTAAAATATGTTTTTCTTCACGTGAGACGTGATCCAAACCACCCCTCCCCTTTACCTACCCGGCTCTGCCCCCCCTCTCTGCTGCGGTATTATTACTTTGATGAGTGGCTGTTCTTAGCACCATCCCGACTGGGATTGTGTCCCCCCCCAACGAAAAGTCAAGGGAGGGGACCAATTATAATTCCCCAGAGCCAGAGGGGGCCCCCAAATGTTGGAATTGCGGAATGTGTTAAATATTAAGGAATATTGTGAAAAATTGAGGTCGAAAAAATTCTGAAAATCTATTCTTAATCTCCTCTAATGCAAAAATAAGGTTTGGAAAAAAACTTTTGAGAGCATTGCTTTTCGCAGGCAAACGTAGATCTCTCTCGCCAACTTTTTTGGGGGGAAATGTTTGGAGGTGGGGCCGCAAAATCGAGGGCGCCCAAACGTTTGAGTTCACCCCCACCCCCAACGACATACGGTCGGTACGTCCCTGACTGTTCTACACTGTGTTGATGTGCTTGAAAAGTCATGATGAGTCTTGAAAAGTCATTATGATGTGTTCCTCCCATAAACCTTCTTTCCATCTGACTCAAACAAATTCTCGTTTCTAGGATAAGAATTATACCGGCAATCACGCGCGGCTCATGGCTATAGGCATGTAAATAACGTTTGATGAATCATGACACTGCCAATACACTCTTTCGATAATTATGTCACAACTACACTGTTTTCAACTTAGGACCACCTTAAATGGAAAGGATTTCAAGTTTTTTTCTCGTGGGCTATGCACAGAGAAGTAGAACATCCTTCTTCAACACATGTGTGAAAAATATTTTTGGATTTTGATCAATAAATGTGGAAATAAGCATTAACACGAAAACGAGGCTACTGGTCAGGACCTGGAGGCTCGTTTTCGTGTTAGAGCTTATTTCCACATTTATTGGTCAAAATAAAGAATTATTTTTCATGCATGTGTTGAAGAAGGATGTTCTGCTTCTCTGTGCATAGCCCATGAGAAAAAAACTTGAAAATAATCCTTTCCATTTGAGGTGGTCCTAAAAGTTGAAAACAGTGTAGTTGTGACGTAATTATGGAAAGGGTGTATTCCGTCATACTATCATGATAAAGATCAGAGCCTATTTCAGTTTGTAGAGATGTAGAGACTAGAGTAGAGAAGCATGAATGCAGAGCAGACGCACGCTGTTGTGTCTTCTTACCTTTGTCAAAGACTGAGTGTACATCTGGATTTTCATCCACGTCTTTCTTTACTTCAGGATGGGAGAACTCACAAACAAACGACCAGTAACCGTTCTCAGGATTTTTCAGACTAAAAATGTTTTAGAGTACTGTAGGTACTAAGAGAATGATCCTATTCTAATTGCGTTGCTGATTCTCAAAGTGTTTCAAATACTGTATGTGCTATTTGCATTCAATAATGTTTCAATTACATTCCTTGTTCAACCTGTGAATGTGCTCTAAATAACTTTGCATTCCGTACAAAATAACCATAACATCATTTAGCTCAAAAGCCACATAATTTATGTAACAAAATTCAACAATATTAATAATTCAGTGTTTATACTTTATTATTAATAATAACAAATATATAACAATTTATTGTCAAGGGCAGGGACCGCGGAGCTTGTTTAAAAGTGTGTGTGGGGGGAGGATAGCACAGGAGCTATTCCACGCAGGCAGGCTGGATTTTATCCGGTAATTTTTTATTATCCACTGAAAAAGTGGGCGCCCTCCCGGCCCCCCTGTTCCGCGGTCCCTGAAGGGACCTACCCATATAAGAGAAGGTGGTCCAGGACATCAAACAAACACTTCACGTGAACATTGTTGCATTTTATGGCCGATTCCTGTTCATTTCCCGCTTCATTAAATTGCTTTAGCTGAAGCTAGAATAATAAATTAGTAGTTTGAGTTGTAATGCGCTCTACTGTGTTTTATTTGGTGACAATTTTACCTATTGAGCAGAACGTTTTCTGTGTTAATGGTTAACAATGCAGCTTTAACCAGAGATCATCCCCCATTGTTACCCTCATCAAGGCCGGATTTTGAGGGGAGGTGCGGGGAGGGGCACCTCACCTAAATCTTTCCCACCTCCCCCACTATTTCCACCAAAATCCGGCCTTGACCCTCATTTAAACCCATTAAGTGGCAATGCACACTGATGTACCCTTAACTTTATTATTTTATTTTATTATTTTAAGGGAAGAGCAGTCTGGTTCAATTAGGTCACAGAATCTGCCAGAGGCGTAAAAAAAATACCTGTGGTTCTGGTTCCCGACCGACCCTATTTTTTTCCTGCCAACCCTATTATTTTTTCAAAGGGATTGACCGTTCGACCCTATTTTCTCTCAACTGGGTAGTTGCGGGCTACTGCCAAAATGGCGTCTGTTGTCACGCTAATTATTGAAAACACCATGAAAAAAATATTCAAAAAAAAAATTATTTCCGACCTACCGACCCTAATTTTTTCGCGATATGAAACTGGAAACACAGGGTTTTTTTATGCCCAATGTGTCTAGTTAACTCATTCAGTTGCACTGCACCCTGATACGCCCGACTTAACTATTCTACTCTGTTTACTCATCAAGGGGAGAATGCTAGTGCTCAATGCGTTAATTACAATTATAGTCCAATGAGCCAACTTATCTATTCCTAGACTATTTTACTTCAGTGATTAAAGCTGATACACATTAATAATACAGAGCCTGGAATTACAGTTGGACATCATGCCCACATCTCTACTTTATAACCCAATAGGCTGCAATACATCCTGATTAATGCCTTAACTCTTAATGGCAAATAAATTAACTCTTTTAATGGTCCATGCATCCCTGATGCATCATACTTTATTATTTTACAGACTGTCTATTATAAATGCCAGACAATTTTTATTTGTCAAGGGAGGGGGGAATGTTGCCACTCAATGGGTTTAATCAGCTATTAAATTTTACTCATAATAAGCTGAGAG